CCACCTCTGGGAGAGGCGGGCGAAGGAGCTGCACGCGGCAGGCTCGCGCGCGTTCTCTGGGCGTGCAGCTCGCGCTGCACGCGGCAGGCGCACGCGCCGGCAGAGGGCGCGGCGGCCCTGCGCGGTGGCTCGCGCGAGCCGCCAGCGCGGCACGCCGCGTGGAGAGGCGAGGCGCTCGCTCCCGCGCGCTGCGCTGGCAGCTTGTGCACGAATGTCCACGCAGTCGACCCACTTCAGTTTGCTGCGCCACTCACGCCGCGATGGCGTGGGCGTTGGTTCCCGACCCTTGGTTCATCGTGCAAGCTTGAAGGATCACTGGCTTCCGATACCGGAGGCTAGAGGAAGAGAAAATCATAAACATACACGTTTGGCGCTCCGCGCGGGTTTCTTGGATCGGCGCTGGGACCCCTCCCTGGCGCGCGGAGTGCGCCAGGGGCGGCGCCGGAGGCGCCCCGGGGGGGGGGGGCCCAGCGCGGATCCAAGAAACCCGCGTGGAGCGCGAAAAGTTTCTGTTTATGGCGTCTTTCTTCTTCGAGTTCAACACTGCCTGAGTTCAGGCAGCTGGTGAGCTCCAGCCTTGAACGCCCGTACTGGCGTCGCCACCCCATCACTAGGGAGCCCTCAAAGGACGTACGCGCCCAACTGTGTACATGAACACGGCCACTTGACCCGCGAGACCGGCCGCGTGGTATGAATGTTCGCCTAATGCGAAATCTCGGAAACAGCGTGGATTCATGTACGTGTACGTCCTTCTCTCGCTCCCGAATCACCGCGGCGTGAGCCTATCGGGAGGCACGCGCGCATTCCTGGGGGCGGCGTCCGACCCCCCTCGCTGGGCGACGCCTCCGGGCGCCGCCCCCCACCCCGGGGGCGTTCCCCGCACCCCTGGGAGCACCGGTGCGGGGATGGGGGGGCCCTGGCGCCGACCCAGGAGATCTACGCGGGCCCCCAAGCAATACCAGAACTGTACATACATGCAACCCCGTGTTGGCCCTCGACCACCGGCAGGGCCGGCCCGGTGCCCGCCGCCGCCATCATCGCCTGCTGCATCGACCTTCAGGTCTGGGCGTTGTCAAGAAGGCTACAGCCAGCGTGCCACCAGAAGGAACCGGGAAGGAACGGAAGGGCTTGCCTGGCCACGGGAGCCTCGGCCACCAATCGGTCGGCTCCCTGACCAAGCCCAAGGAACGGCCCGAAAACCTGAGCCCCTCCTGAGCCCAAGGCGGTCCTGTCCCAGACCCCCGACGCCGTGAGTTTTTCGCAACGTCGATCCCCACAGAGGTCCGGACCCATTCCCCGGGACCGGATTTTCATCCTGAGTCGTTTTTTGGCGGTCCCGAGGCTCAAGAAGGGCCCCCGGGGGCCGAAAATAGAAGAAAACATCCCGTCGTGATCTCTTCACGGCGCGAGGGGGTCTGGGCTTCAACGTCTCGACTGTACGGCGTAAAACCTCCCGTCGTGATCTCTTCACGGCGCGGGGGGGTCTGGGCTTCAACGTCTCGACTGTACGGCAAAAAACCTCCCGTCGTGCTCTCTTCTCGGCGCGAGGGGGTCTGGGCTTCAACGTCTCGACTGTACGACGGACGCCTTCCGCCGTGCTCTCGGGCCCCCGGGGGGGCCCTCGCGGACGCTGGCCCGGCTCGGCAGAGGAGCAGTACCCTTAGGTCGGGCATGCCCATTCAAAAAATATTCAAGCCTATTTGTTGTTATGCTGTATTATTTGTTGGTGTTAGTTATTTGTTTTAACAAACAGAACAAAAAGGTCGACAGATCGTCCCCTGGCTATTTTTTGATTCTTGAATCTTCCTCCTGCAGCGAGAGACAGGCCCGACTTACAAAATATAAGCTGTGCGTGTGTGGCTCAGCACACGGGCCACAGAACTCTCTGGCACCTTCCCGGGTGACGCGACGTTCCCAGACCCCCTCGCGCCGTGAAAAAATCACGACGGGAAGTTTTCAGCATGTTCGGCCTCCCGGGGCCCTCACCGGGCCTCGAGACCGTCAAAAAACGACTCAGGATGAAAAACCGGCCCCATGCAGGGAATGGGTCCAGACCTCTGGGGGTCGACGTTGCGAAAAAATCACGACGTCGGGGACCTGGGTTTACTTCCGCAGCCCCACGTCGAGCTTCCGCCGGCGGAGCCGCCCCCGTGCTGGCTTACGCCGCCCTCAGCCGCCCTCCGCACGGGCAGAGATGCCAACTCCTTCAAGCCCTCGGAGGCGAGGCCAGTCTCAGAACGCCCCAGAACGCCCCGCATGTTCATGTCAGATCGTTGCTTGACGGCCCCACGGCCCCCCGAAACAACCCCGCCAGAAAGCCGCCTCAACGAGGTTTCCGAGAGGCCTCCCTCTAGATCCCCACAGGCCTTTGACCTACAACCTAGGTACGGTGGCGGGATGGCCACTAGACAAAGACTGCCTGGCAGAGTCAGGTCAAATGGCCGCACGCACAACGGCGCACTGGCAGGCGCTACGCTACGAATGAGCTCACCTTTTCTCCAGAAATGCTCGCCTTGAGAGAGAGAGAGAGAGAGAGAGAGAGAGAGCTTCCCATTGTGAGAGATTGCCCACACGAGACGCGCAAGGATGCAGAGACGTTATTGGAGCAGACGGTTCCACAAATCCGGGGCAGACGGTGAATCAAGAAGGACGTCGCCGGCCTGCCTGCCCCCACACGATGGGGGAGGGGGGAGCGGGCCGACGGAGGGCGGACAGTCGTGGGCTGTCTGGGGGGCAAGGGAGGGGCTCACGGCTGACAAATCAAGGCCAGGGGGGGGCCGAAGGAGCCTGGACGACGGAGGGCGGACAATCCCAGGCTCTGGGAGGCTGCGGGGACCCACGGCTAGTTCTATTCCTATTCAGATCCCTGCTCCTGTCCCTATCCCCGTTCCTATCCCTATCCCCATTCCGTTGCTCATTCCCATTCCTATTCCGATTCGCATTATCATTCCTGTTCATATTCCTGCTGCTCCATCTCCTCCTCCTCCTCCTCCTCCTCCTCCTCCTCCTCCTCCTCCTCCACCTCCTCCTCCACTTTTTGCTGCTGCTGCTCATCCTCCTGGTCCTCCGCCTCCTCTCCCTCTCTCCTCCTCCCTCCTCCACTCCTTCCCCGCGCACTAATTATACTCCTCCACCTCCGCCTCCTCCTCCTCCGCCATTCTCTCCTCCATCCTGGAGCTGCGAAAATACAGCACCGACGCTGTGCGTTTCCAGCGCCATAGGTGGACCAGCGAGCGCAGGGGGGACGAATGTAAAATCAGTTTGAACCACGACGGCAGAAAAATTGCAGGGGGTGCAGAAGGTTTGATAATCAATTCTGGCGGCTGTATTGAATGGGTCTGCCTATGCAACTCAACTGTTTTGAGGCCCCCAGGGAAAGAATGGGGTGCATTTCTAAACCGCTCGCTCCCATGACTCAGCCGTCTAAGCAAAACCTGCCTCCTGACAAGCCTCAAGCCTTCCGGGAAGGGCAAGGGAGGCCCATCGCCGTCTGGCCTTCTCCGCGGACAGGAGCGCCTCGAGACAGGAGAACTTCGGAGAAAAGAAACATGGAGCTTCCGAGGACGGCAGGGAGAGATTCGAAAACGCCCCCCCCGCCTTCTGAGCAAAAGGAAGCCCCCCTCGCCCCACGCCCCCCCCCCTGGCGCGCCGCCAACGGATCTCGGGGGGCGACGCGCTGGGGCTCGGTGGCGGAATCCAGGGTCTGGAGGCAAGTGGAACTCCGATCGAAGCTTGGCCATGGATATCACCGCCGCCCTCATCAGATAAGGAATCCTCCAGGGTCTGCAGCATCCTGGGCGCATTCCTTAACCAACGCCCCCACCGCACCGATACCGCTACTCTCCCGGGACCTCTCCCGGGGCACGTTCCGGACCAGAATCTTGGGGCGAGGCCGGCAGTGGCGACGAGAGGGCCACCCCAGGAAGCCCAAGAAGGGAGAAAGAAGAGAAAAGGGTAGCGACGTGGGTGCCTTGTCCTCCTCCGAGAAAGCGACCCCCAGACCCTTCCCAGGGGTGGCGCTCTGGCTGGGATTCTCCCGAGGGGGAGGGCCGGCCGCGGCGACGAGGGCGAGCGCCCATGTGCCGGAGGCCGGCCGGCGCCCTACAGCTGTGGGAGCGCCGCTCCTCGAGGCTCGAGACCCCGAGGAGGCCCCGAAGGCGAGCAGGAAGCGACCAAGCGCTGCAGTCTGAGCAGGGGCCGACCGTCCAGGCATTGCAATACGCATACCATGAACTGTTTTTAGACCCCGGAGAGGTTCGAATAGCCAAAGCAACAGTGTTCTTAGAACATACACCCCGTGTGTTAACACAGGGCGTCCTCGGTAAAACATGTTCAGAGAACACCCCGTGCAGACCACAAAGGGTTCTCAGAACACTCTGTGATGGGCCCGCAGGCCAGCCGGGACCCAGACCCCCGACGTCGCGATGTCTTCGCAACGTCCACCCCCAGAAGTCCGGACCCATTCCCAGGGGCCGTTTTTTCATCCTGAGTCGTTTTGTTGACGGCCCCGAGGCGAGGCCCGGTGAGGGCCCCCATAGGCCGAGAATATCGAAACACCTCCCGTCGTGATTTTTTGTCACGACGCGAGGGGGTTCTGGGGATGCCTCGCCACTGCTCGAGCAGTTTGCCTCGCGGGCGCCGCAGCTCGGCGGGCGGACCACGTGGGCGTCATGCACGGCGTGGGCGTCTCGCCGTCGGGCTCCGCGGCGCCCGTGAGGCCGCCGCCGCCGCCCGCAGGGCCGAGGTACTCGAGCGGCAGGCCGCAGGACGGATCGCCGCCCCTGGGGAAGGGTCCTCCTCCTCCTCCTCCTCCTCCACCTACGTTTCTACGTTTCTCGCTACGCAGCGTCTTGTCGCGCGCCCCGCGGGAGCGGAGCGCTCTGCAGCGGCCCTCTAGGGCCGTGCGGGCACTCAGACAGCGGCCCCGGGAACCCGACCCCGAGGAAAGTAGGGAGCCAGGGACCAATAAAACATAGAGGAGGGAGAAAGGGGGCCGGGTTTCAGCAAAACTAAAAAGATGAGGGCCCGTCTGGGCCCTCAGCGGGCGCCGCGCTCGCCCGTGCCAGCTCAGGCAGCACGGCGCGCAGCCAGGCCTTCGGCCTCTTTGTGGGCGGTCGGCCTCTTGTGTGGCGGCTGGGCTCCCTTCGGCGCCTCGCGCTGAGCCCAGCCGCCGTGTCATCGGATGGATGGCCGCCTTCTCTGCGGCGGCCTCCACCCTTCGGCGCATGGCGCTGTGGAGGCCCGCCAAGCCTCTCTTGGACTTCGGCGGCCCTGCAGCCATCTCCTCGCCTGCCACGCGAGGCTGGGGAAGGCCTCGCCGCGGCGCACGGTGCGCCGCCTCCTTCACTTTGCTTGGACTCCTCTGAGATGTCGTACGTGCTGAGCACCGCTTCCGATGTGGCAGGCTCATCACGCCACACTGCTGAGGACCCTGCTCCTGTCCTCCTTTCAGCGGGCTGGTCTCGTCAAGGTGGTGGTTGCTGTTGATGGGGTGGAGGTTCTGGGGTTGATAGTCTTTGTGGTGCCTCGCAGCTGAGGACCCTGCTCCTGTCCTCCTTTCTGCGGGCGTGCCATCTGGAGATTGGTTCTGAGGACCCTGCTCCTGTCCTCCTTTTCAGTGTCTCCATGGCGTGTTGCTCGAGCCTGGCTGTTGAGGACCCTGCTCCTGTCCTCCTTTCAGCAGGCACTGTCATGGTTGAGTCGTGCCGCACTGCTGAGGACCCTGCTCCTGTCCTCCTTTCAGTGGGCTGGTGGAATCGAGGTGGTGATGGTGGTTGGATGGGTGGTGGTTGCGGGCTGGGTGATCTGACGGTGGCGAGTCCCATAGGCTGTAGATGGTCGTCTTGAGTGTCTATGGTCAGGTCGTGGGGATAGCGTGTTGTTGCTGGGGTTGTGTTGTGGGTTATGGGCGCACATGAGAGGCCTCCATGCACCGACTTCAAGTGGGGTTCGTGGCGGCCCCACCTCGTCCCGCTATGGCTAGGGGTCACGGTGCCCTCGGTGGGGGCGAACCCCAGGCCTGGTGCTTGCTGTTGTCGTCGGTGGGGAATGTCTCTGCTGCCTTCAGCTTCGCCGCGTCGGCGATCGGGTAAGCTCCTCCTTCGCCATGGGAATGGTGGGGGTGGCGAGCTAGGGCGGACCGCGGGGGCGCGGGCAGTGGCCGTCCTACCCCCCCCCTGCCCCTCACCATCCCCGCTGGCGGGCGCGGGAAGTACTCGTCCTTCCCCCCCAGCCCTTCGAGCCCGTCTCGAAGTTTGATCCTCACCAGGACAGCGTTGACTTGGAAGGAGTTGTAGGGGGTCGTGTTGGGTATGCTGTCGATGTCGGTCGGTGATACGCTGACGGCCAATGGGCCGCCCGCTGCCAGCCAGCTGGCGCCATCCATATTGTAGATCTCCAGGAGCCGCCGCGGTGCACATCAAAACGTGGCGACTTGTGCCTGGGGCGTTCCCTCGCATTCGGGGCTTCCCCAGGTCTTGCGTTCTAACGATAGCCAAGGTTGGCGACGCTGCCTGAGGTCTTCCCACGCATTCGGGGCTTCCTCAGGACTTAAGCAGCACACCGTAATGCCTGCCCAGGGCCAAATAATTGGTAAACAATGCCAATGTTAGGAAAGTCGATAAATCCAGCAAGTGCTCGAGGGGGGGGCACGCTCCGTCGCCATTGAGGGATCGTGCCCACCCGTATGGGCGCTACGGGTCCCCCCCCCTCGAGATGGCACGCAATCGTTGTCCAGGTCGCATCCGTACCAGTAACCCGTTAGCAACAGGGTATTGGGCCATGCCGTAGGTGCGCTGATGCTGACACTTCTGCTGCCAATCTGAAATACTCTGTATAAAATATTGTAATGCCAGCTGCCATCAAATCTGTAGCAAGCCGGTGGTCTGCGCCAAATTGCAGACCAGTGTTCCCTTACGGGGCAAAAGTATATAATACTGGACGCTTGACTCGACTAACTGCACCAAATAAGCCGCCGCGGTGCCAATTGCTAGCGCCGATGGTTGCCCCATGCCCTGTGACAATCATGGCCGATCTGGTCTGTCTCCATGTAGTAATCCAAGGGGGCGTAGAACCTGTGGTAGCAGTCGTCCGTTTCGGCCCACATTGCCTCTGCGTCAGCAAGCTGCCCCCAGTGGGCTGCGAAGGCGGTAGCCATTGCCTTGCACAGCCTTGATGGATACTCTTTGAGGGGGGCGGTCCTCCAGCCGCCTTGGCCGTCTCGTCCGTAAACTCCGGCATGTCCCGCATGTCGGCATAGCTGTCCCCCAGGTACCGCCCTTAGCTCCTGTGCGAGTTCACCGAGGTGTGCCGCCATCAGACATGTTGGTTTTCTCGCGTCCTGCCCGAACTGGCACTGGTCTATGTAGTGAAGTTCGACGCCCGTCTGCTCCAGGAGCCAGAGCGTCTCTGCTCGCTGCCAGCTGCTAGGCGCTTGAGGGCACCATGTGGCTGGGGCGGGATGCTCGAGTACGGCTGAGACGTTGTACTGCAGGCCCGTGGTGATGAGTAGTAAAGCTGTCCTGTATAGCTCGTTGGCTAGTGCGATCTGTTGATGCTCCGCTTGGCTAGCTGCTTGTATGCCCCAGGGGGCTTCATGTGTACGTAGTGGTCGAGGTGCCTTCCCCTCGGCGGCATGCCAGCGCGATGAGCACCACGTCTCGCAGGGCGGGCCCGCCACAATACCAAATATTTTGCCCTGTCGTATCGCTGCGCACCAAAAGTCGACGACGTCTGGCTTCGTCAGGTCTCCTTTGACGGGGTCTATCTGCACGTCGATCGATAGTACTACCAAGTTGCATTCCCGAATGTTCATCTCGAAGTGGTACTGGAAATCCTCGATTCGACGTCTGCCCGAGAAAAGGTGCAGCAAGAACATAGCCGTGGTAACCATGGGCCTGCACGGTGAGAATACGATTGCAGGCGGTGTCGCTGTTTGGACGTCCGCTGCCGCAGGCGGGGCCGGCGAGAGTTGGAGCTGGTGCTGCTCTATGTAGTCGGCCAGCTTGAGCTGCATGACCTGTTGGGCGGGCACCAGCGCCTTTGTAGCTCCATGCCCCATTGCCTTCCTCGCCGCCACAGCTTCTCGTTCTTCTTCTCGGCGTTCGGCTGCCTCCTGCAAATCCATTGGGACCTCGATTGCTTGGAGGACCGCCAGGCATTTGGGGCACCTTCTCAGGTGCTTGAGTATGCGGGATCTCGTTATGAAGTTCTTCCCGCACCCAGGGCAGGTAGTCGAACGGGCAAGCAATTCGGGAAGGTCGTAGCCGATGTGTTCCATGGTGCGATGGCGCTTCCATGCTCCCCGAGTTTTTAATATCTTGCCACACTCATAGCATATGTAGCCACAGTGCTGTGCGGGCGGCAGCCCCTCGAAGTTGGGCGTGGTCATTCCAAACTCTTGCGCAAGACGGTGTAGCTGCCTTTGCCAAACTCGATGTCGATATATGTCGTGCTGCCATGCTTTGTACCTGAGCCACGCACGGGTGATCGTGGCTTGTGCGGCTCGCACGTGCTGTGTGCGTAGCCATCGCAGCAATCCCCTGATGTCGCTGCCGATGTCCTCGTCGTCTAGTAGGAAACTTCTTATCCAGTCCAGATCTTCGACGATAAGAGCGTTCCAGGCCTTCTCATCCTCCCAGAGTTCGTCGATGAGGCGGTGGAGGAAGGGCGTGTCTGCATGCGCCATCCTGGCCAGGTACATCAGGCGCCGTCGGCGCAGGTACATGTGGATCGGTACTTCGTCGCACAGCAAGTATATTTCGTCATCCAAGGTATGTACATGTCCCGCGCTGTGTCGCTGTTGTCTTGCGGCGGCCCGCAGACTCGCCATGTGTCTGCTCTGCAGCATCTGCTTCTGCTGTACTGTAAGTGGCCCCCACACTTCGCAGTCGCAGGTCAGCTTGCTTTGCGCCAGCGCCGTGAGGTACAGCAGCTTGGCCTTGAGGTCGATGTGCGGCAGGCGGAAGATGGACTTCTTCAAGGGGCCCTCTGCGGATCTGTGGTCTATGACGCGTCTCATAAGGTTCGGCCCCTCCCCACCATCACTCGTCACGATATTGCCCAATGTGAGTCCCTGGGTCGTGACCTCCGCCGTTGACACTTCAGTGCTAGTTGGCGGCTGACCATCCTCGCGCCGCAGCGTGATGGGATTTGTCTTGAAAATCTTCGCCTTGATATGCTGCTTGGCGTGCCCATCGATATGCAGCAACGCTTTAGTCTTCTTGGGGTGTAGGTCATGCCCGAAGATCTTGAGTCTCCTTGCAATGATGGACAATATGTCGAAGATGCTGCTCTCGATTTTCGTGTTGTCGTTAAGTACGCACAGGAATGTCGCATCGTCCATGAAGGATACTTCTGGCAGGGTCCCTTCCAGCCCTTGGAGCTGGCCTGACGTGACAATGGCTTGTTCGCCCGCTGGTGGTAGTTGTAGTAGGTACCCTCCTGCATGTAGCTCCTGCTCCAGTGGGCCCAGAGCGTGCGCGAAGCTGATGTTGAAGATGAGGTCGGCCAGGCCGTTGCCTAGGCGTGTGCCCTTGCGGCTCTCCGCGCAAAGCTCTTCTCCCCGCACTTGGAAGAATGTCGTGTCGTGTGCTTCCTCTAGCTGGAATCGCAGGTTCTCGTCTACATCGTTGAGTGCTAAGTAGCCTGGAGACGCTATCAGCTGCTGGATGGCCGGCATGAGCCATTCAGGTGGAGCGCCTCCTGCCATCACCTTTAGGAGCCAAGGCTTCTCCCCTTCCCGTCCCAGCACAAATTCTCGAATAACTGAATAAAAGGCCTG